GTATGGCCCAAGAATGATGTTATGAATATCCAAATAGACCTTGGATGTGCAGGGGGGAAAGCCCCTCACCCCTGCTCTAACCCATCAAGGATCTGTGCTATTTACAAAGCAAAATATCACCTTAAGGAAGTATTTCCTTACCACTGGCTGAGGATATATCCTCCCCTGTTAACTCCCTAGGAACACTAACAACTGAGCTACCTGGTTTGTTTGAATATGTGGCCTCTGACACCCTCACTCCCAAGAACCTCCCAGAGACTTCGTCTGGTTTACTTACTTACAGCTACCGCTCCTAGAACACGGCCAGACACAAAGCAGGCGCGCCATGTTTGTTCAGTGAATAAAGGGGGATGCAAACGCTGGTTATTATTCTATTTTCCTTTTTGTCTTTATATTTATTATAAACTTGACATTTTTAAAGTACACATAGGACTTCTGTAATAAAATTAATAATGTGACCACAAAATCAAATGGAAAGAATAAAATTAGCATATCTAATCATGGGACCAACACAAAACTCTGGCCTGGAATCTAGTAGATAGGTTGACCACAATTCACATTCTCCCAGAGTCTGTACTGTTTATGAAACCCGAAACACCGGCCGATTGAAGGCCGTGCTTGCTGCTCAGTACACTCAGTACGCCTTGGACTTTTAAATAATAGTCATCTCTCCTGGGCTTGTATAAAGATTGCTGTCTGAGCTGATTCCAAGGCCGTGCTCACAGCACATGAATTCCTACCTTAATGCTTTTGCTGATGCAATTACCCCTCTCATGGCATTTCCTCTAGTCTGCCACTTTGCCCCCCAGCCCACCCACAGTTTCCCCTGTCCAAAATCGAGACCATCCTTTAAGAGCCACTCAATGTCTATGAAGAAATGGACACAACAGATAACTCTTTTTCAAAAGAGTTCGCTTTTCAAGAGGCACCTTGTCTTGGTGTCTCCCTCAATTAATTACAGTTGGATGAAAGCAATCTTTCATAGCGAGCCACACTGAAGTGTCACGATCCATTTTCCAACGGAGTAAAGGAGGGTGGGGGTGGGGACCCAAACAACTAAAAAACAAAGCAAAACAAAAGCAAAAAATCAACATCCACTGTTAGCCGAAAAGTACAGCCAAAGGCAGGGGCAATCGTTTTCTACAACCTTTCTTACATAAGAAAACACTAAATGGTCTTCAAGGAATCCAGAGGCCTTGTCCACACACACATACACACATCCCCATGAGGAAGCCTGGGAGGTATACAGTCATTACCAGGAATTTACAAAGAAACAGAGACGAGGAGAAGTTGTCCCGGACAAGCTGAGAATAAGTCCTCAAGTCCTGTTGGCTCTCATCCCCTATGCCCTAGAACCACAACCAGTCAGCACTGGTCGAGCACTTACCATATCCCAGGCACTGTGTCAAATGAGTACATATGTATTATCTCATTGCATTTTCCCAGTTGCGCGAAGGGGTCTCACACCCTGCCATGGAGCCAATCGTGACTCATCATGACCCTCCAGGGCAGAGTAGAATTGCTCCTGAGGGTTTCTGAGACCATAACTCTTTACAGGAGTAGAAAGCCGTGTCTTTCTACCGTGGAAACCAACCAATTACCCACTACACCACCAGTCAGGTTAATTAGTCCCATTTGACACATGAAGCAACTGAAGGCCAGAGGTCTTCTCACCTTCAAATCAAGGAGCATGTGAATACAAGATTCTTGCGCTATTTCATTAGTAGTTTAAAGTGATGAACACAGTTATTGATCCAAAAATGCAAACCCCCACCTAATTTACCATTCAAAAAATTGAAAGAAAAAAAACCCTCCCTCTCTTTATTACTCTATTATGCTAGGCTAAATATCTTTTATTTAAAAGCTGAAAAATAAAAACCACCACCTTCAAATCAACTTTGACTCAAAGCAACCCTGCAGGATGGACTGGAACCGCCAGGATGTCTCCCTGTAAAAGCTATGTTTTTATTACATCTCACTGAGTCGATTCCAACACATAGTGACTCTCTGTACAACAGAGGAAAACGCCCTGTGCTATCGTCTCAATTGTCAAGTTTGAGCCCATTGTTGCAAGCACTGTGCCAATCCATCTCCTTGAGGGCCTTCTTCGTTATCGTTGACCCTACACTTTTCAAAGACTGGTCTCTATAACCAAACACAACCTCACTGCCATTGAGCTGATTCTAACACACAGTGACCCCATTAACTAAAAACAAATCTCAATGTCATTGAGACAATTCTGGCGCAGAGTGACCATATAGGACAAGATAGAACTGCCCCTGTGGGATTCTGAGATATTAACTCTTCGTGGGAGTAGAAAGCCCATACAAGGCAACCAGGAATGGGGGTGGGAACAGGAAGAGGGATAAGATATTGAGTAAGGAAGAATGGGATGGGGCTGATGGGGGTGAGAAAAAGAACCAATAAATAGAGGGTTTAACGGGATATTGTTGATTTCGGATGGGCTGTGTAAATATATACAGTATGTTTCTTTAAAAAAAAAACTCTCCAGATTCCTTATCCTTCAACCTACATAGTGGGCTGAGTGGCTAAAATTGGGGGGCAGCGGGGGGAGGAAGAAAAGTAAAACTGAAATGGACTTGGAATCTTTAGTGACAAACAAGTTCATCTCAAACCAAAAAGAAAGAAAGCCCTGTCTTTATCGTGAGGAGCTGGGGGTGGTTTCAAACTACTGACCTTGCAGGTAGCAGACCAACATGTAACCTCTATGGCACAGGGCACCAACATGTTCATGGATAAGAAGAGTTAATATTGTGAAAAGGTCAATACTATCTAAAGTAGTCTGTAAATACAATGCAATCTCGATCTAAAAACTTCATTCTTTACAGAAATGGGACTCACCAGCTAGGGGGCAGCCCAACATTGCTGTTTCAGTCTATGTTGTGGATTTTTTAAAATATCTGCAAAGGGAAAAAGCAGATTCTTTCTTTACATGGAGTAATAAGATAAAGGAAGCAGTGTGTAGATATTGAGCCCTTACCTGGAACTCCAAATATATCCTCTTATTTAATATTCATAAGGAAGCTATAAGCTAGATACTATCATTGTCTTGATTTTCAGAAAATGGAGGCAGAAAAAAACAAAACAGCAAACGAGTTGTCGGGAAATGAAGTCTGACTCAGCGATCCTACAGGACAGAGGAGAGCTGCCCCATAGGTTCAAAGATATCTTTACGGGAGCAGACTACCACAGCTTTCTGAACCATCTACCTTTCAGTCAGCAGCTAAAGGCTCAATCACTGTACCACCTGGGTTCCTTTGAGGCAAATGATACTTAGAAATGGGCCTAAACTCACATCCCTGGCAGGGATGATCCAAATTCAGCTTCTACTGTGATATTCTTTCAAAGTTCTAATGCCACTCTGTGACCAGAGAGGAAAACAAGGACAGACTCAGGAAGGTTCCAGAAAAGTGTGAAAGCAACAAACCTTCACGATTAATAGCAGGCACTCTGGGTTCAATTCCTGGCTCTACTCCTTCACAGTCCTGTCACCTCACAAGCCCCAGTGTTTTCATTAATCCAAAACAAAAAAGTAGATATCGACTGCCATTCAACTCCTAGCCACCCTATAGGACAGAGTAGAGCTGGCCCCTGTGAGTTTCCACGGCTGTCCATCTTTACAGAAGCAGACGGCCACAGCGTTTCCCACCTTTGTCGTCAACCGCTGCTCCCCAGAGCTGTGTTCCCATCCGTTCAAGGGAATTCCTAAAACTCCTATCAGGAGGGGGTTGTACAGATTGAAAGTGAGCCTGTGTTTCTTAGCATGGGAGCCTCCTGTGTAGAGTGTTCAAGACTTCGACCTTCCAAAAGCCAATCTCGTGGGCACTGTTCCCAGCTGCCTCTGAGTGGGTCTGAGCAGGCAAGTTTTCGGTTATGAGTGTCATGCTTCACCGTGTGTGTTACTCAGGGACTTGGGTGCATGCTGTGAGACCAGGTGGGAGGTGAAGACCTACTAAAGCATGGGACTGTGATTTCAACCAAGTAGAGTATAGCAGAACCATCCGAGGAAGACTGTCTGGATTTTGGATGTCAGGGATGGAGAAAGCGCACTCGTGCACAGGAGTGGCACGCGCGCACAAACACAATTTTCTACCTGCTGGAAGAGGCCCTGCAAAGGATCCGTTCACAATAGTGTGGCCCAGCACAGCTCCAGGGTCGGAGGGGTGAGAGCGCCGAGCAGTTACCTGGAAGCCAGGCAGGGGGAGCTGCAAAGCGCTCTGAGTCTGTCTTTCCCAGCTTGGCTTTGTGCGAGGACTCGCAGTGGCAGGGCCGGGGCAGCTGGGAGCCCGTGGCTCAGTAGAGGGACGCACGACACTCCAGTGCCCGCCACGCTGCATCTGCGCTGTGAGGGTCGGGGTCTCAACTGCTGCGTCCCTCGAAGGAAACACGAAAATCCTTCGTTTCGCTGGTGAGGTTGCTGGCACCGCGAAGCCACCCAGAGCCTGGGCAAACGGAGCCTGCCCGGCTCGGAAACGCATTCCAAGATTATACCCATCGCGGGGAGGAGGATGTGCGCGCAGGGGGAACCTGCCCCGGCCGCTATACCCACCCCTCGGGCGATCTAAGCCGCCCATGCTCGGGGTTTCAGATGCAACCGGATCCCCACGCCCAGTAAACCAGTGGCCACTCCCCGCTTTCCAGGAACGGAGGCGCTTTCAAAGGACAGGCGCCTCCCGGCTGCGAGAGGACCCTGTTCCCACGGCCACAGGAGAGACCCTACTTCTCCGGGTCGGTAGCGAACTAGTGCATCGGAGACCCCAGACTCCCAGTTTAGCTTGCTTTACGATTTCCCGACCCTCCCTGCGCAACCCACGGGGAGGGGCCCCGTCACTGCGGCACTGCGCACCCCACACCTCCCTATCCCCCCCCACCACTACCACCCGCCCGCAACGCAAAAAAGCTCGGCTGCGGACGCTTCCTCGGCTTGCTCGGGGCACTCAGCATCCTGAATGCCTGGCCCAGGCTCCCCAAGTACTCACTTCTCAGCCCCTCGGCTTTCCAGGCCGTCTCCTCCACCGCCCCATAGCACCTCAGAGGTTTCTCCGCTTCCAGATGGGTGGAAAGGGATGGCTTTAACTCCATCGCGGATTCCCGCTGGAAGGTCGATGGGTCTCCCTTTACTCCATCCCCACTGCGCGCTCGCGCGCTGCCCGCAGCCAGGCTGCTCCAGTCAGCAGCGCTTTAGGGGGCCGGGCGCTTATGACGCTGCTCTGTCTCTTCCGCTGCCAGGGCCCAGTAGCACCAACTGGTACCCAAGAGGGGGAGGGATGCAGGGCACATGCGCAATGGAAGCTTGGGAAAGGCTTGGGGGCTGGGGAGGGAGAGAGGGGGCAACAACTAAAATAAAATCAACGCAAAGGGCGTTAAGGACAAGCCCCCTGTCCACAGGGGAGCCTGTGGAAAGCGTTTGTTCTGTTAGATGCCTTTGTACTTTGTTCTATCTGCTGGGTGCCTGTGATCTGTCTGTGGGCTGCTAGGCTGTGAGTGGGATTTGTGTGTCTCTCTCTCTAAGTGAGGAATACCGCAAGGTTTGAAATCAGGAGAGGTGTGCGTGAGGCTTGTATCCCCTCACCATCCTTATTCGATCTGCATGCTGAGCAAATCATCAGAGAAGCTGCACTGTATGAAGCAGAACGTGGTCTCGGGATTGGAGGAAGGCTTAGTAACAACCTGAGGTAGGCAGATGACACCACCTTGCTTGTCGAAATGAGGAAGACTTGAGGTACTTGCTTATGAAGATCAAGGACTACTACTCAAAGCAAAACAAAACAAAAACAAAATTGTCCCAACTGGACCAAGAGGTCACATCATGAGAAATTGAACAAAGATTGAAGTTGACATGGATTTTGTCTTGCTTGGATCCACTATCAATGCTCAGGGCAGCAAAGGTGAAATAATTAACCGATTCGTTCCATTGGGCAAAACTACTGCACCGGTCCTCTTTGAAGTGTTGAAAAGCAGAGAGATTTCTTTGAAGACTAGCGTGCACCTGACCCAAGGCATTTTCAATTTCCACATATACCTGTGGAAGTTGGACACTGAATAAGGAAGATGAAAGAGCAATTGATACATTGGAATTACGGTGCTGCCGAAGACTCTTGACAAATACCATGGAAGAAGTACAGCTGAGTGCTCCTTAAAAGCAAGAATGGTGAGACTTCCTCTCACATACTTTGCACATGTTCTCAGGAGAGACCAGCCCCTGGAGAAGGATGTTGTACTTGGTAAAGTGGAGGGCAGCGAAAGAGGAAGGCCCTCCAGGAGATGGATTGACACCGTGGCTTCAACAGGGGCTCCAACAGGAACAACTGTGAGGGTTGAGTGATGCTTCGTTCCGTTGTTCACAGGGTTACTATGTATCAAAACGGACTCAACAGCACCCAACAACTCCACCTAGGGTCAGTGGGTCTACCTTTGCAGGGGTGGTGGGTGGGTTGGGTTGTGTGCTTGGGTGAGTGGGTTTGTTGTTTGCATCTGTGCATGTGAATCGTGACAGTCTTGTGTGTGGATGCCTGTACCAACTCTGTGTTTGCATCAACTTGGGAGGTTAACATATTTTGTGTGATGATACATAACAGAGCTATTTGGATCATAGACCTTTACTCTCCAGAGATTCAAAATTGTATCTTCTTCGTGGTAATATAAAAAGTTTAGAGAAAAATATTGCATAAATAGATAAATGAAGTTTTTAAATAACAGACCATTGTCCTAAAACCGAAGACTGAATAAAACTCTATGTGTTAAAAAAAAATCTATGTGTTTGAATTGTGGTGCTGCCGAAGAATATTGAAAGTACCATGGATTGCCAAAAGGACAAACCAATCTGTCTTGGAAGAAGTACGTACGGCCAGAGTGCTCCTTAGAAGCAAGGATGGTGAGACTCCTTCTTTTACTTTGGACATGCTGTGAGGAGAGACCGGTTCCTAAGAAGGACATCAAGCTTGGTAAAGTGGAGGGGCAGGGAAGGAGAGGAAGGCCCTCAACGAGGTGGATTGATGCAAAAATTAGCGCAATGGGCTCAATCAGGAATACTTGTGAGGACGGCACAGGACTGGGCAGTGTTGCCTTCTGTTGTGCACAGGGTTGCTAAGGGTTGCTATCAACTCGAGGCAACAGGAACAACAGGACCCTGTCTGATATATTGCTTCAAGGTGACATTTCCTTCAGGTTGGAAAGCACTTAAAATACAACTGAGGAAGAGCTGCCACCTCAAAGTAGAGTCAATCTTAATGCTGTAGATGGAGCAAAACTTTCAGGACCTTCATTTGCTGGTGGAGCATGATTCAAAATGGAAATAAAACCAATGCAAACACCTATTAATACTCAGAATACAGAATGTAGGACTTATAAATCCGTGAAAACTGGAAGTCGTCAAAGTGAAATAAAATGCAAAAAGATAGATATTCTCTAGGCATTCGGGAGCTGAAATGGACTTGTATTGGTTATTTTCAATCAGACAACTGTACGGTTTAATATACTTTGAAAAATAATCAAGAGAAATAATAGTGTATGCATTGTCAAAAGACCATTTCAAGAACTATTGTGAAGTATAGTGCTGTCTGTGATATGATAATATTCATATATCTACAAAGAAGACCAATTAGTAAAACTATCATTCAAGTTTACATACCAACCACTAAAGCCAATGATGGAGCAACTGAAAAATTCTACTAACGCTTCAGTCTGAAATGGATCAAGCATGCAGTCAAGATGCATTGGTAATTACTGATGATTAGAATTTAAAATTTAGAAATAAGAGGAAAGATCAAAAGTTGGAACATATGACCTTAATGATAGATCTGATGCTGGAGATCACATGATAGAATTTTGCAAAACCAAAGACTTATACCTTTTTCCAACAATCTAAACAGCAAGGATACATGTGCACTTTACTAGATTGAACACACAGGAGTCAAACTGACCACATCTGTGGGAAGAAATAATGAAGAAGCTAAAAGTCATCCGCCAAGACAAGGTCAACTGTGGAACAAATCATCGATCGCTCAAGTTCAGGTCCAGGTTGCAGGTGAATAAAATTAAAATAAGTCTATGAGAACTAAAACATGGACTTGAATACATCCTACCTAAATTTAGAGAACATCACAAAAAGATTTAGCACTAATGACTGAAGACCAGATGAGTTATGGGATGACATCAAGAATATTATACATGAAGAAAGCAAATGGTCGGGAAAGAAAGAGAAGACCAAAGTGATATTAGAAGAGACTCTGAAACATTCATTGAATGTGGAGTAACTAAAGAAAATGGAAGAGATGATGAAGTAAAAGAATTAAACCGGAAAAAAAAATCAAAGGGCTGCTAGAGAAGACAAAGTATTGTAATGAAATGTGCAAAGACCTGGAGTTAGAAATCCAAAAGAGCAGAACCCACTCAGCATATTTCACTGAAAGAACTAAAGAAAAACACCAACCACCAGCTGGCATATTGAAGGATTCGATAAACACTGCAAAACACTGCACCGTATGGGAAGCATCAAAGGAAGATGGAAGGAAGACACTGGACCAAAAATTGGTCAACATGCAACCACTTAAAGAAGTAGCATATGATCAAGACCTGATGCTCTTAAAGGAAGATGTCCAAACTGCAATTAAGGCATAGCAACCAAAAAAAGTCCTCCAAGGAATTCATGGAGTACCAACTGAAATGTTTCAAAAAACTGATGCAGAACTAGAGCAATGACTACTCTATGCCAAGAAATTTGGAAGATCTGGCCAACCAATTGGAAGAGAGCCATATTTATGCCCATTTCAATGAAAGGTGACTCAACAGAAGACAGACATATTAATAGCATTTATATCACAAGCAACTAAATTTTTGTTGAAGATAATTCAAAAATGGTTTTAGCAGTACATCCGCAGGGAGCTGCGAGAAATTCAAACTGGATTCAGACGAGGATGAGGAATGAGGGATCGCATTGCTGATGTCAGATGAATGTGAACTGAAAGCAGAGACTACCAGAAAGATTTTTACTTGGGCTTCATTGGCTATATAAAGACATTTGTCTGTGTGGAACATAACATTGCAAGGAATTGAAATTCCAGAACATTTGATTGTGCTCATGTGGAACCTGTGCATATATCAGGAAGTAGTTGTTTGAACAGAACAAGGGATAGTGCATGGCTTAAAA